AAAACCCCTGAGAACAGGTTAATTCAACAAACAGATTTAGACACTTCCCTAAACCTTAAACCCCTTTTTTAACCCCCCCCAATCCTCACCAGAAGACACAAACAGATTTAGACATTCCCCTAAACCCCAGACCCCATGATTTCCCTCAAACCCTCAAAGAAGAAGGTTTACGCATTCCCCTAAACCTTAAACCCCTTTACAGTAGAAGCCAGAAAGTTGGAATATCATTATCGTAACCCTACCATTAATCCATATTCCAACTTTCAGGAGTTCCCTTTAAAACCCCCCAAATCCTCAACAGAAGACTCGGAGCAACAGCCGAAAGATCGATCTCCTGCCTCCTTCTTCCAAGCGAAGACGAGCTTGATTGGCAAAACCTTGCGAGGGCAGTTAAGGGTTTAGGGTTTAGGAGTTTAGGAATTTAGGGTTTAGGGTTTAGGCTTAAGGGTTTGAGGTTTACCGTTTAATTAGGGCTTTAGGGTTTAAGGTTCAAGGTTCTTGGCTTCACGACAGAACCCTAAGCCCTAAACCCGAACATTTGGGACATGGGTGTTGGCTGAGGGTTTATGCAGGCTCAACTGCACTTTTAAGTGCGGGGAGTTAGAGGACATAGTCAATTCAATATCTTAAGGTCCAGAGAATCTAGGATGGTTTGGCGGGTCTTTTCAGGCTTGGAATGCATGCTGCTGCACTTCGGAAGCCTCCCAGGAGGTATGCTGGTCGTAACTTGGAGAACTAACTTCCCAATCCCAGACCCTTTGACACATCCAAGAGAGGGATCATTCCATTAAACATTGCTCTGTCTTAGCCCACAAGTACAAGTTTTGACACTGTAACAGGTATGGCACAGTAAGCGCAGAGCCATGTCCTGCAGCGCCCGCAGCGCTGAAGGGCCTGAGGAGAAAGACAAAGACGGTAGCTTCCTAGTAGGATTGCAATCGGATTCATAAGGGCTCTATGAGGGAGTTTCCGACAATTAGGGGTACCTTAGTTTGGGGTCCTTATAATAAGGATCCTACTATTTAGGTTATAACATTAGGGTCCCCCATTTTCGCAAACTCCCATGAAGGGCCAACTGCCCAATCCTGCTGTTTAAACATGGATGGTCTTGGGTATCTATAGTCCTGTGAGGGCCTTGGACGGCTTGTATCGTTTAGGGCCGGAAAGGTACTGTGTTGACTTGGGTTTTACGTGGGTTCAGAGTTTCGGGCTTGAGATTCTCGGGTTTGAAATAGTTTTGCCGAATTGGAACTGGGCAGACATGCTTGGAAAAGGTTCTTGGGGGCGTTTTGGACATACTGACCTTCCCAGACCCTTCATGTACACTTCTATAAGACCCCAAATACCTATTGATATTGTGTGGGACCCTATACTGATACTGGGTGGTATACATTCATGAATCTCGAAGGGTTTATGTGCACGTAAAGGAGATACCTTGGCCGTAACAGAGTCCCTAAATAGGTACATTCAGGCCAAAGTGTATACTCTATTCCGTATATCATACCTTTGTAGTCAACCCTTTTAAACCTCTAAACCCACACCACCCTCTTTATAGTAACTCATACAGGATAGTCGCATAGCAACCGTAAGGGGACCCAGCCGTTAAAACCCTAAACCGCTGAAACCTAAGCCCTGAACCCAAAGCCCTAACACCTATAAACTCTATATACCCTAAGCACCACACCTAACAGGAACCCTTTACGGAGCCTCCCACAGCCCATAAAAGGAACTTCATACAAGCCCTCAAAGGAACCCTCTAAGGCACCATTTAGATCCGAACCCCGAGGCAAACCCTTGAGGCTTCGGCTCGTCAAGTCTTGACCGCGCATGGACTGCGCAGGTAGAAGCTGCGCTCCCTTGCCGCGATATCAGCGATCCGATTCCCTAGCCCCAAAAAACTGGGTTCCTGTGAGCTTCCATTGAGGGCTCTATGATATCAGCGATTCGAAACCCTAGCCCTAAACTTTGGGCTCCTTTAAGCTTCCATTGAGGGCTCTATAAACGATTCGAAACCCAAGCCCTAAACTTTGGGCTCCTTTAAGCTTGATATAGGTTTGGATGGTCCGAAGGGCCCACTAACGCACAGGGTCCTGGGTGCTTTTTTTGGGGGATACCTCCCTAATTTCGTATTAGCAAGTCTTGATATACAAAACTCTGAGTTCCACGATATACGTGCTTTGGGCCCTTTGGGCAGTTTGGGTAGGTTCTCGGGTTTAGGACAGTAGTTATGTATGTAGGTTAGTGTTTTGGGAGAATCGATGCATTCAAATCAAAGTATTTGGGACCAAACACCCTACAATTGCTAGTACAACCCTAAACCCTAAACCCTAAACCCTACAGTATCTCTAAGCCTTGAACCCTAGAACCCTCGAGCAGGAGCCCTACCCTTATGCTATGCACCCCTATGTGGTATATGAACCTTAAGCTCTTTAGGCTTCATTTCGTCCTCAAAGCCGCAGTATGCCGACCCCTTACTTGGAAGGGCAAGGGACTTAGTAAGTAGGTTATAAGTAGAGTTATAAGTACCCTAAATAGAGTTACCCCAATTATAACCCTACTTATAACCTACTTACTAAGTCCCCTGCCCTTCCAAGTAGGGTGCTGAGATTGATATCATCTGTGTGGACTCGGGGCTCCGCTCAGGCACTAGCTTTTTGCTTTAAGATACGGTTACTATACTTGCTATACTTAGAAGTGCTTAGAAATCCAATTATAGGGTACTCATTGCTTTGGTGGTCATGAGGGCTATAACTGTGACTTTCCATGCATTCATACCTTGCCGTAGTATGCCCTTGCTCCGTACTTTAGGGCCAAAGTACATACTACTGCAGGAGCCTGAGTAAGAAAACTTGGGTCTCTATTAAGTCTCCTTTCGTTACAGAACCGGGGTTTCCTTAATCAGGTTCCCACATTATACCGGTCCATGGACCCTAAGGGCAACAGAAGGCTTCTGGTCGAAACATCTTCGGGTTGGTTCCCAGAGACTCCAAAACCCCTCATATAGTTGGGGAATATGCCTTAAATCCTACTAGGGATGATATTACACATAATCTAAAGCTATTACTTAATCAGGGGTTTTGGAGTCTCTGCTTTGAAGACCCAGGTGTAGTTGGAGGATCATGGGACTTAGTAACTAGGGTTACAAATAAGGTAACTATACTTATAACTCCAATTAGGGTACTTATAACCCTACTTACTAAGTCCCATGATCCTCCAAGCAGGGTGTAGGCTTCAGGATGGGCTTCCCGTCGCTGCCACAGGTCCTGGATGTAGGGGATGTCCCAGTTGCGTTTTTTTGAGCTGCCGAAAGCCTTTAAACCCTAAGGGTCCATGTACCCAAATGGTATATACTTTGGGCCGCAGGTACCTACTTTAAGGCCAAAGTATATATATATATATATATATATATATACTTTTTGGGTACATTGACCGCCTTAGGGCTTGAGAGTGTCCCCATGCCAAGAGTTTGCCACGCAGCTTCTCATAAGCTGCTGCCGTGGCATCATGCAGCGGCCTTGCTGCTTTGAAGCCGGTGTCTCCTGAGCGTGCCTGGAATGCTCCCCGAAGTGTCCAAACAACCCAATAATTAGGTACTTAGGGGATAGTAGTTATGTAGGCTACTATTTGGGAGAGTATATGATAATTAGGTACTCGGACCCTTAGGGCTCTTGAATGCTTTTGAAAGTGTCTCCATGCAATGGAAGGGATACCTTTGGCTCGAATCCACTCGGCTTTGGTGGGCTGACGAGCGCAAGGCGGATTCGGCTCAGCCAGACTGGCCCTCAATTATGGGGGCCTTAAATAATACTTAGAACATGGGTTTTTGGGGCCCATTATACTATAATTCTAATAAAGAACCCACATAACAGTATTGGTACTTATTTAGGCCCCTATAGAGCTTCAGCCAGCGAAATCACAAAAGAATCCGACGTAGCAGAATCTGCTCCGGGACGGGACCAGCGGGCTTCGGAGTCGAAGATCCAAACCTCAAAAATAGTTAATATAGGGGTTTGGGTTCCTTAGGGTTCCGTTTACAGGGGTCTATAAGAGTTACTATAAATGGTCTATAGTAGGGTTCTATAGTATACTGACGTCCGCTCGCAACACTTGAAGCAAAGTCAGAAAGGGCCTTGCGCTTCCGAATAGTGCTGCTGGACAGAAGTAGCAGAGAAGTTGACGACACCATGCGGTCTAGGGTTTAGGGTTTACCTTAAACCCCAAGTAACCTACCTTTTCAGGACTTATATAAAGAAATCATATTAAGGAACCCCCAACAAAAAAGGTAGGTTCCTCAGGGTCCAGGTAGGGTTTAGGGTGCGGCGAAGTTTCCGAGGATCTTAACTGCCTCAACTGAGAACAAACTCCTAACCGGTTTGGGGTGTCGTCCTGACTAAGCCTGAATACCTAGAGCCCAACCCTTAGGCTCTAAGCGCCCACATTTTAAGGCTTCCGGGCCGATAGACCATACTGTATAAGGCTTTTGGGCTATTTTGAGCCTTAGGGTAGTAAAGCCTAGACAGTAAGAATAGAAATCCTACCCTAAACAAGCACTGAAGCTTCAGAGAACCACAGCCCACCCGACCTCCGGAACCCGCACCAAGGTGCCGTCTCGCATGTGAGGAAGCTGGATGGCCTGGTTCGTGCTTGTTCAATTGTGGAGTTTCTTCCATAACCCCAGGGGTCCAAGAAGTACCTAATAATCATATACTCCCCAAAATCCTAACCTACATAACTACTATCCTAAAACCGAGTACCTAATTATTAAGGCCCATATAGTAGAACCCTTGTAACCCTTTTAAAGGAACCTTATAGAACCCTTGAAAGGGACCCTAATTATTCGGTCCTTTGGGCCCCCCTAGGGTAAGGGTCTCATAAGGAGTTTGCAAAGCTTACCTCGGGCTTCAGGCTTCGGATCTATAGGGTTTCAGGTCTACCAGGGTTTAGGGTTTAGGGTTTAGGGTTGTGAATTCCGCATGCTGAAGCAGGAGCCACTGGTGGCCATGTTCGTTTTCCGTCTGCCTTCTCAGGCCCGAGGGTCGAAGGTGGGCGGGTAGGGATCGACACAGGGTGTCGCATGGACCTGCGAGCTTGAGCTGGAAGTCCGGAAAAGGCAGCGTGGGACGCTGGGAACATTTGAGCTGTGGGATCAGCTTTCTCTTCAACGTTGGGATCCGGGATCACCATTGGGATTCATCTTTCTTTACAGATCTTTGATCTTCAGTGACGGGGTCACGAGCTACCAGGTGAACTCAAGGGAGTTCACACTGGTAGCGGAGCCTACAGCTTCGCTATCTGCGCAAAAGCGGCCGATCCAGTCTTGAATTCTGGGATTTACTACTTTGGCGACTATGCCACCGAAGCTTGAGCCAGGGTCTACGACAGCCGGAGCTTCGCCGGCCGAGGGATCTACTGGGTTCCAGCTACCATGGGCTGCAATTCCAAAGTTCATTCCTGGAACGACAGATGTGACGGAGTACAGCAGGAAGCTAGAATTCCTGGCGGCCATGTGGCCGAAGGAACATTTGAGTCTGCTCGCACCTCGAGCAGCTCTTCAAGTGGAGGGCACGGCCTTCAAGAAGATCGCCAGTTTGCCACCTGACAAGCTGAAGAGCAACGACGAATCAGGCATTAAACTGCTGGTATCGACGCTGGGAGGATCATGGGGCAAAACAGACCTTGAAGCAAAGTATGACGTGTTTGAAAAGGCCTTGTATGGAACCGTACAGAAGCAGGACGAGACCAACGACAGCTACTTGGCCCGGCACGATGTACACTTTGAGGAGCTGTTAGCTCAGAGCGTGACGTTTGAGCAGGTGCGTGCCTACATTCTGTTGCGCCAATCGCAGCTTACAGCAGAGGATCGCCAGAAAATCATCTTGGAGCTGGGTGGTAGCCTGGATTACAAGAGGGTTTGTTCGTCGATCAGGCTTCTGGGATCTCGGTTCTTTGCCGACCTGCAGGGACAGCGCGTGCTAAAGTCCAGAACCTATGATGCCAATGTGGCTGAGGAGCCTCCGCCAGAGGAAGGGGACCGGACCCTTCCCACGATGATGGCAAGCGCTGCTATCGAGGAGGCCGAAGTGGAGTTGGACGATGGCTTCATTGAAGCCATGGTAGCCACCGAAGACCAGGATGCCTTGCAGGTTCAGGCGTTTGAGGAGGAACTTGAAAACTTCTTCCAGGATACACCGGAGTTGCAGGAGGCATTGGTGAGCTACATGGAGGCACGCGGCAGACTGCTGGCCAAAAAGAAGTCCCGCGGCTTCTGGCCGATCGGTGGAAGCAAAGGAGCCTCCAAGGGAGGCCGCGGATTCAAGGGTGGCGGCAAGGGAAAGGGCAAGCACCGTGAGCAGCTCCTGGCCCGAATTGCCCGATCCAACTGTCGAATCTGCGGGGAACGAGGACATTGGAAAGCAGAATGTCCCCGTCGGAAATCGAATCCGACCGGCGAGGCAACCACGACCGTGGCCGAAGCCTTTGTGGATGTCTCCAACCTTGCTTCCTCATCCGATCCCGCCGCCTCTCAGGAGATTTTGACCAGCCTGCCAGCAGATGCTTTGACCTTGGAGGAGGCCTTGTGTGTCAATTCCGACCTACCTTCTAAGACCGTTGCCTCTAACCTTAAGGTTTTGGTTCAGAATCTTCGGAATCGGGGTTCGCAGTGGATGCACAAATCCCTCAGGCAGCCGAGCATTGGGGAACCAGCCTCGACTGATGCATTTTGCATTGACCTGAAGCGTGCGAGGTTTCCTGAGTCTGAGGTTGCTGCCCTTGCCCAACAACCAGACACGGTAGAAGCTATCCTAGACACAGGTGCTAGTAGATGTGTGATGGGCAAGAGTTTGCTTCAGACCTTCGTTGGCCAGTTAAGTGATGCAGTGCGTTCCAAGGTTCGGATTCAGAAAAGCGCCATTCGGTTCCGGTTCGGGAATAACCAGACCTTGATTAGTCATAGGCGCATTTTGCTGCCATTCCGAACGCCTGATCATGAAGTTTTGTGGCTAGGGATAGAGGTGGTTCCAGGTCGCACACCTCTGTTGTTCAGCAAGAAAGCCATCAAGCAGCTTGGAGGCATCATAAACACCGTGACAGATGTGTGCGAGCTTCAAAGGCTGCAAAGGTCACTCAGCATGCGAACCGGCCCAACCGGGCTCTACATGATTGACCTGTCCAGGCTGTGCGAGGAAAACCAACTTGAGGCTACGCGTTCGACCGTTCGTGAAGATCAGCTTCAAGTGCCTGCCTCCGACGACCCATGCATGTATAGTGAGCCAGTGGATTGTGGTAAGAAGACCCTGGGATGTATAGCTAGTTTTCGAGCCTTTAGGAATCCTTGGCCAAAGAATTCAAGTGAAGCGTTGAAGCATAGTGTTGCCAGCGCTGTTAATGATACTATCACAGGACCTAAACCGGTACCTGGTAGCGCGACTTCCGCGAAAGCACAGGTTCGTGAGCGACAAACTGTGGCCGCCGTAGCCACTCCTGCACTCAATCGTGCAACCAGTGTTCTCCCACCGGGCCCTTCAATCGTGTGTGCTGAGCTCAACCATGGCTCAGAGCAGCAGTGTGCCAGAGACCCCAGTCTCTACCCCTGCAAAGGCCAGCTTGGGAGCTCGCCTTCTCAGGCTGCGCGACCCGGCTTCGAATCTCAGTATGGCCGAAGTCGAGGAACTCAGCCTCGAGAAACACGGGGCCTTTCTCATCGACTTCGGGACGAAGATGAAGGGACGCAGCTATCTGGATTGCGTGGAAGAGGCTGCGGATTGGACCAAATGGTTCGTGGAGCATTACCACGATTCATCGAAAAGAAATCATCGGATCTTCCTGAGCTTTGTGGAAAAATATGTGAGTCAGGCCGAGCAAATCGAGGTCGCCCTCTCTGGCGAGCCAACGGTTGTGATGACCGGCGCGCCTTCCAAGGCTCCAATCGCAAGCAAAGCCGCTCCAAAGGCTCTCCCCAAGGCCGGAAATCCGGAGGTGCCGTGGGAGCTTCTGGAAGATCCCCCGATCCACGATCAAGTGGCGTCCCTGAGCAATCGGATGGTTCAGATGGAGCAGGTGATGCAAGAGATGATTGTGGCAATCCGCCAGCTGACTCCTCCCCCGCACTCCTCCTGAGTGAGGTGAGTCAGTGTCAACGTGAGCTGGGGGCCCTAGTGTCCCAAGTTAACCTTGACTGTCAGGAGTCTGAAAATAGTGCTAAGCAGCTGATGCAAAGCCAGCCCACGTTGCCTAAGATTCGGGCTTTTCTGAAGAAGGTGCCGTGGCACCTGTTTGCCAATCCGAATGCCCGCGCCTCTGTGGTCAATGGCAGCTCTGAGGCGGCCAAACCCATGGCATATGTCACGTTTGGGATGTACTCCCATGGCGGAGTAGTGGGGATAACGAGTGTAACAAAACAATATCCCTGGATTTCCCGTGCACTTACCGCATTAGTCCATCAGAGTGATCCTAAGCACCGGTTTACCTCCGTAGGAGTTTCTTGCAATGCGAGCACGGACCCCCATAGAGACGTGTACAATTCTGAACAGTTCCAGAATTTGGTTGTTCCACTTGTGTATCCTGAGACCGGCGGGCAGCTGTGGGTTGCCAAGACACCACATGCGCAGCAGCCAGTCCAGACTCGGAAGTGCGGTGAGACTGAAATCTCGGGATCCTTAGTAGCCCTTAAGCCCACGATGTACCTCGACCCGCACAGTTGGCATGCCACTTCACCATGGACTGGCAATCGACTGCTGGCTGTTGGTTACTGCCTGAAGGCTTCCGATAAGCTTGGAGCCGAGGATAGGGGTCAACTAAAGTATTTGGGTTTTCGGCTACCATTTGCCTCTCGTCTAATCTTTGCTAAAGCTTTGGTTGCAACTAATCCGTCACCTTCGGCGGAGTCCGAGCTCCGTCAAGAGTTGAGCTCTGCAGAATGTCTCTTGAGCTCCAAGCTATCAGACCAAGCCCAGCATGCTGCCAACGCGTGCGATGCTGCATTCCAACAAGCCGAGGCTGCTTCGTGGGAGGTGTATCAGGATTCGTTACTGACCTACAACCAGCCGAGTCTGGAGCAATTAGATCTTTTGGAAATCTATGTGACGGTTGATAGTCGGTTGACAGATCAGGTTCTATCCTTAGGGGGTCGGGCTAGGCGGTTTACGATGGAGGATGGCGATCTGTCAACTGCTGAGGGTCAGCGTAAGCTCTGGGATCTGTTGCAGAGCGCTCAGCCTCGGCATGTGTGGGTGCATCCGAACAGTCGCGCTTGGTGTTCATGGACATCCCTGAACAAGGCCCGCAAGCCCGAAAGTGCCCAGAGCCTTAAGAACACGCAGCAAACAGACCTGGTATATCTTCGACTATGTGCAAAAATATGTGATTGGCAGAAGCAGAAGAACCGTCACTTTCACATGGAGCAGCCTGTTGCCTCAAGACTGTTGAGTGAGCCCGCTGTGCAACCCATAGTGAAATCTACTCAGCGAATTACTGTAGACATGTGTGCTTTCGGTTTCTGCACTCCAGTACATCGGGTTCCTATCCGTAAGCGAGCCGTAATCCTGAGCACATGCCCGAAGCTCGTTCGGGAACTAGTTCAGAAGCAGTGTCCTGGACATTCCAATCACGTTCCCTTGACCCGTCGCTTGCACTTGATCCCAGGTAATTCCTGTCTTTCCAGCACATATTGCAAGGAGTTTGCGAGGTATGTCGCTACCCTGATGTTGACCGATAAGGATGAGTTGGCGATGGCCTTGCAAAATGCCCCGCCCATGACTCGAAAGAGATTCAAAACCTCTTTGGGCCTCTCGCGACCCACGAGCAGTCTCTACTCACAAAAGCGTGCAAGGGAAGGTGTACCCGAAGAAAAATTACAAGCTAAAGTGCTGAAGAAGACGGAAGTGCCTGCATCTATGCCTAGGCAAGCTCCTGAAGAGCTGCCTGATTTGCAGTGGCAACCCGTGTTTGCTTCCGCGGCTGAGCATGCAACAAAGAGCAGTCCAACACTTGTTCCGCCAAATAGTCCTCTAGTGGCCCTGGTCCAAGCCCAACTTCCCGATGTTGGGGTTCTTCAGGTGTTTGTAGGAAAAGATTGCAAGCAGCTGCAATCGCCTCTAGGTGCCCTACCCGTGACTGTTGCCCCCTGGCGGATTACTTTGTGCATGCGTCAGCAGACAGGGCAAGTCGCTGTGTACCAATCTCTAGGTCAAGAGAATCGCACCACGATGTCAGCCGATCGCAAGAGAGCTAGGGTTCCCAACGCCAACATCCTGATGACAGTATTCGCCCAATCGAAGAATCCTGTAAACCCTAGGTCATCCCAGCCTGCATCAGCTGATGTACCCCAGGATGCTGCCATGAGCCCCAACCTTGAGGGCTGGGCTCCACCTCCCGTACCCATTCACGGTCCCGCCTTTCGAAACCTTGATAAGGATCTTAAGATGAAGTTGATTAGGGCACATAATAATCTTGGTCATCCTGATCACAAGAAACTGTCCGAGCACTTGCGCGCTGCTGGAGAGTGTCAATCATTGGTGGAAGCAGCCTTAGACTACCAATGTGATGTTTGCTTAGAGTCCACCATCCCCAGACATCAAAGACCCAGTAAGTTGCCCGAACCCAACGAATTCAATGACGTTCTCGGTATCGATGGTTTTCACTTTAAGGGTCAAGCAGGCTATCGAGCCTATGTCGTTCATGTTCTTGATGAATCTAGCTGCTTCCATCAAGGCCGTCGTTCCAGTACCAGACTTGGAGCTGAAGCTTTACATTCATTGAGAGATTGTTGGTTCTCTTGGGCCGGTGTACCTCGCCTAGTGTACTTGGACCCTGCGGGTGAATTTCGCTCTGAAGCCACGTTAGAAGCTTTCCAGAATCAAAACATCAAAACTTTTGTCTCCGCTGCAGCTTGGCAGCGAGGTCGAATTGAGAGACACGGGGACATAGTCAAAAGTATGCTAAGTCGTTTGGATAAGGAAACCCCAATCACTAGTGATAGCTCCCTGGACCAGGCCCTGCAGCAGGTTTTCAATGCAAAGAATGCCAAAGGCTATGCTCCAGAGCAGATCGTGCTTGGAAAGTCGGTCCGTGTTCCCGGAAGCGTTTCTTCCGACGAAGAGCTGAGTTCGCATTCGCTGACCGAAGGTGCTGATCTTGAAGCCGAGGCCCATCGCCAGCGGTTAGAACTTAGGTGTAGGGCCCGTCAAGCCTTCTTTGATGCAGATAACTGTCAAGCCATTCGACGTGCAATGTTAAGGAGAAGTAATCCAGTTAGGGGTCCATATGCAGCGGGTTCTTGGGTCTTGTACTGGACAAAGAAAACATCCCCAAATAGATTAGCTGCTGGTCGATGGCATGGCCCGGCAAAGGTCATCTGCCAAGAAGGACAGTCTGTTGTTTGGGTCGCACATGGATCTACGATCTTGCGCTGTGCACCCGAAAACCTGCGTCCCGCTTCGTTGCGGGAGTGGCAAAGCTTATCCTCGAACCAACCTGATGAGCTTTCCACGCGGACTGGTGGAGCCAGCACTTTTGTAGACCTGACCGCACCCAATCCCGAGATCACCGTTGGTGTCCCAACTCAGCCGGCACCAAGTTCCTCTGTCAGTCCGATTGAAGTAGCTGTTCCAGCACCCGTTCCTCAGTCTGGCTCCTCTGCAGCTCAGGGAAGCGGAGAATCCGAGGCAGACCTTGGTCAGCCTGAACAAGAACTGACGCCTCAGGTCAGCATTCAAACGGAACTTCCTGCTTCCCTTGATGCGCCCGAAGTTGAGCGCGATACCGCAGCTCCTTCGGCTCCGATGCAGCCGACTCCGGAATCTAATCCTTCAGCCCTTTTGGATGCGACAGCCATCCCTGTGCCCGGCACTGATGAAGGTCTGTTTTCAGAAACTGTGTTGTTGGCCACTAATCCCCTTGACACCCTAGATCCTGTGTGCGATGATCTGATGGAGTTCACTACCCTCCATACCAGCGCCGAGTTTGAGGGCCCTCCTCTAGCTGAAGATAATCTCCCCTTCGTTGAGAAGCCCTTGGAATGCTCTGAGCACCAGGCTTTCTGTCTTGATGTTCCGATCAAACCGAAAGATCTCAAACGCTGGGCACAGGAAGCTGCCCCAGAGCAACTGGCCACTTTGGCTGCGGTAAGTAAGCGTGCTAGGGCCGAGGTTAGCGTTAAGGATTTGTCTCCTCAAGAAATGAAACTCTTCGAACAGGCCAAGGCCAAGGAGTTGCAATGCTGGGTGCAGACCTCTGCGATTCGGTCTGTGCTCCGTCGTCGTTTGAACCCTGAACAAATCTTGAGAAGTCGATGGATCTTGACCTGGAAAACGCCTGAACCCGGGGAGTCCCAGCCTCGCGCTAAAGCACGATTAGTGGTTCTTGGGTTTCAAGACCCTAAGCTGGTTGAGGTAATGAGGGATGCCCCGACTTTGTCTAAGGAGGGGAGGGCTTTAGTACTGCAGACCATAGCATCTTGTAAGTTCCCACTTGGATCCTTCGATATTAAGACAGCCTTCTTGAGAGGAAAAGCCGATGAGAACAATCCCCTTGCCATGGAACCGCCCAAAGAGCTTCGTCAACTTCTCAACATGCGCGATGATGAAGTGTGCCAGTTGCTTGGAAATGCGTATGGCAGAGTAGACGCTCCCTTGCTTTTCTACAAGGAACTATCATCGCAGCTAGAAGCCTTAGGTTTCATAAGACACCCCCTTGAGCCCTGTGTGTTCCTCTTGTACACTGGTGATAAGCTAAACGGGATCCTCGGTGTTCATGTGGATGACGGTGTGTGTGGAGGTGATGAAACGTTTTTACAAAAGATTCAAGCCTTGCAGAAGACCCTACCCTTTGGGAGTCGTAAGTTTCAAGATTTCGTTTTCACCGGCATCCGTCTTGAGCAAATGCCCGACTTCACGATACGTGCCTCTCAGGGTGAGTACATTCGCCAGGTTCTTCCTATTGACATAGGTCGTAATCGTCGCCAACAGCCCGAGGCCCCCGCCACCGAGGAGGAAAGTTCCAAGCTTCGGGGATTGGTCGGAAGTGTTCAGTACGCAGTCACGCATACTAGACCCGATATCGCTGCTAAATTGGGGGAAATTCAAAGCCAGATCACGTCGGCGACTGTGCAAACCTTGTTGACGGCGAATCGCGTGTTGCGAGAAGCCCAAGAGTTTGACCATGTGTGTGTGCATTACTTGCCTATACCAGTGGACAAACTGACGTTTGTCTCATTTGGTGATGCATCCTTCGCATCCTCTAAGAACTTAAACTCACACCAAGGTGTCATTATATGTGCCACGGATGATCGACTTAGCCTAAATAAGGAAGCCCCCTTGTCCCCCTTAGCTTGGGTTTCTAAGAAAATTCCCCGTGTAGTCCGATCCACCTTGTCCGCAGAAGCGTACGCCATGTCAAAGGCTGTTGATCTCTTGGGCTGGCTCCGTGCCTTATGGGGAGTAGTTCATGTTCCTCAGTTTGATTGGCGCCAGCCAGAGCAGGGATTCAAGTTACTGCATACTGCATTGGTGGTCACAGACTGCAAATCCCTCTATGACTTGGTGACACGTCTGGCCATGCCATCCTGCGAGGAGCATCGCACGACTTTGGAAGTTCTCTTGATTAAGCAAAGATGCGCCGAGAATGCTCAGTTTCGGTGGATCCCTACCACCCTACAAGTAGCCGATAGTCTTACCAAAAATATGGATCCATCATTGCTGCGAGCCATTCTTGCACAGGGTCGTTTCCGCCTGTTTGACACTTCAGAATCCTTGGCGCGAGATGCCCAACGTCGCAAGGCCATCGAATGGTTGTCTCAACCCCCAGAGCTTGATCAGCCTCGGTGAATAACACGGTTACTAACTGACTCTCTTAACTGGGTTTGCATCTGGGATGATGAAGGAGCGAGTCCTCCCGTGACTCTCATCAGCTTACATCATACGATGCTGTATCGAGTCGCCTGCCGATTGCGGAACGAACTTGGCCAAGAAAATAGGGTTAGTGTGAATTCCGCATGCTGAAGCAGGAGCCACTGGTGGCCATGTTCGTTTTCCGTCTGCCTTCTCAGGCCCGAGGGTCGAAGGTGGGCGGGTAGGGATCGACACAAGGGTGTCGCATGGACCTGCGAGCTTGAGCTGGAAGTCCGGAAAAGGCAGCGTGGGACGCTGGGAACATTTGAGCTGTGGGATCAGCTTTCTCTTCAACGTTGGGATCCGGGATCACCATTGGGATTCATCTTTCTTTACAGATCTTTGATCTTCAGTGACGGGGTCACGAGCTACCAGGTGAACTCAAGGGAGTTCACAAGGGTTTAGGGTCCCGACTTAGTTGTTGAGTTCGTAAGCCCCCCAAAGGTGTACACTTTTGGTTTTATAGTGGGTCATATTATCCTAAAATGTGTATAGTGTATCCACTCAGCTGCTAAGCCGACTACCCTCAAATACACCCCAAATACCCATTATTGAGGGCCATAAGGACTCTATTGAAGGGCCTTTGGGGGGGGTCCTGGTAGCATTCAAGGTTGAAGATTATTGGTCTAGGGTATCGGCTCGCCGAGCCTTAATTTAAGGACCGTAGTTGTGATGAGGGTCTTAATTCCAAATTTGAATCCAACGCGCTAGGGTTTAGGATTTAGTTTAGGGCTTAGGGCCAAGTTAAGGGCTTGGGGACTACATCCACATCCCGAAACACTAAACACTGAAGATCACTGAACCGAACCCGAAACCCTACCAACCCTGAGAAAATCATAAACAACCCCCGAAACCTCTCTCAAAGCTATGGATTTGCGCATCCAGTCCCCCAAGGACATACTAGTGATTAGACTTGTTCTGGCCTCTATGATAGGACAACCAACATACAGGTCACAACCTAGGGTTTAGGGCTTGCCGCCCCCACCAAAGACCAGCATTTTCAGGGAATGCATGAGGAAATCACAATGAGGAGCCCTCCAGCTGTTCGTTGTCTCGGGTTGAGGCAGGGTTGGCATTGAACCCCAAACGCGGGACCTTCAAAACTTTAAGCTCCGAACCGTAACCTGGAAGCCTCTAAACCATTAAAGCCTCTTGAGAGACGCTCGAAAGAAGCCGTATGTAAATCTGAAAAGAAGCCACAAAGAACTTTAAAGAGTAAATGCAGAACTCTTGGCTGCTGAACCCTTCAAGAAACCCCCAAAACCGTAAGCCCTCGGAGTGTCAAAACTGTCGAACCTTGAGGATCACTAGGGCCTACTTGGAGGGTCGGGGGACTTAGTAAATAGGTAGTAAGTAGACTTATAGGTACCCTAAAAGGGACCCTAATTGGGGTTATGGTACTTAGAAGTCCCTAAAATAACCAGTTACTAAGTCCCCCGACCCTCCAAGTAGACCTTATACACCCCTAAACCCTAAACCCTAAGCCCCTAAACAGCTATACTAGAAGTATTACAGTTGGAACATCATTGTCCTCATGCCCTTAAGGTAAAGTATATGGGATCCTAGCACTAATCCTCTTAAATTGCCATGCTCCAACTTTATGGCTTCTACGATACTAACTACCCTAAACCCTAAACCCTAAATTTTCCGATTCTCACTAAACTACCAGAACCCAAAAACTTTTAAAGGCTGGGCATTGGGTATCTAAGTATACTACGTTGAGGATGTTCCGCCTCACGAAGAGCGTACTCGTCGGTCAGACCTCAGGCAAGTCAGGAGCCAAGGGGTTTATGCAACGGTTTAGGGTTTAGGGGAGCTTATAGACACGGTTGAATAAGCTTCGTTTAAAGGGTTGCTTCAAGGGGTCTATAAGGGATTTACACTAGGATGGAATTACTAAAGGGGCTGCGTACCCAGCCTAAAAGCGGGTAACCTTTCAGCTATAGTAGGATTCGATAAGCCACAAAATTTGAAAGGTTACACAGGTGCTCGAGCCCTTGATGGCGAAAACGGGATACTGCTACCACTTATTCAACTCCCTAAACTAGCACTCCTTATCCAAACCATCTATACTCTAACTTCTGTCTTCAGGCTTCTGCGGCGGCAAATTTCTTGTTGATGTTTGAGGCACCCTGAAACATGAACCCTGACCACTTGCAGCTGCATTTTGAGCGTTCCGTTTTCGATTGTTTGCAAACCTAAACCAATCGCAAGACAAGAAGTGCGTGTTAAGAAACCGAGCAAACCTGTCACTACCTGGTGCCAAGGATGTCAGTGGTGTAGTTACAGGAGCTCGAAGTGGAGTACTTCTACTTTCACTAATACCGGGGCTCCGTACGTAGAAGACAGTTTTGCAGGGCATTATACTATAGTATACCTGTTTAGGGATTAGAAAAGGGCATTCGTACGAATTCCAACCGTCGGTGAGCCCTCAGAACCCTCAGAAACTAGCTCCCAAACCGAAGTAGACGTCAAACCGTAAAACCATGGAAGTCTCAGGCTTCGGGGTATACTCAAACTCTTACATAGGGTTCAGGGTTTACGGGTTAAGGGATTCAGCGGTTTGGGGTACCTTTTCTCGGGATCTTTGTTTTGCTTGCCTTCATCAAAAAGAACTGTCGTTTTTTGGAAGGGGGAGGGGGGTTCGTGTAGACGCTGCGGTGTAGTAATGTAGACCCCTGAAGAATAACCGCTCCTGTCTTCGTAGGCCTGAGCACTGGGATGCCTATTTCAATTACTTCCTATAATTGCTCAGGGGCTGCATTAGTCTACATTAGCCTTGTTGGATAAGCTATTTCACGGACATGGTCCTGTCATGAGACAATAACTGGTTCATCGAGCAACACGAAAAGCTCTACGTACGCCATCAGCCTGCATGTACCTATAGAGTATAAACTTAGGCCTCAAAGCGGTACCTATACAGGTAAGTTAGACTAACTATGACACGATTAAGGATTAGGTACATACTATTTGGGCACGTGCAGCCTTAAGAAACCCTAAACCTCTAAAACTACTCCACAGGTGGCAAGACGTACTCTGGGATTCCAGCCGGACATGCACTTTGTCATGTCTTGCCGCGTCGTCAGCGAGACCTCGCTACGGCTTAAGCTCCAGCTTTATAGGGCAAGTAAGGGGGTTAGGAGTTCGCCCTATCCCTCTTTCAAAGAACATGCGTCGCTCGCCCAATTTTGGGTAGGACAGACCGCCAGAGAACAAATAAATGCAGAGCAGAAGCCATCGAAAACCTATTTAAATCCAGAATGTACTCGAAAAGTTACTTTGGCCTTGAAGCTGCCCCTATATCTACATAGATTATTCCGGCATTGTTGTGCCAAGGGATATATTGCATGGCTAAACGGACCCTTCAGGTAACCAGGTAGCTGCGTTAGTAGAGGTAAGTTCAAGGTTCCAATAGTACCTCCAGGCGCCCTGCGACGTCTGCGTTTCCTTTAACTTCCGTGACTCGGGGTAGCAGAGGCTATGTCTCAGACCGGTAGGTTTTGAGCC